AACTCGATACTAAACTTGTGCTATAACTCTACATTGAAATGTGACCACATGGAGAATTATGAAGACTGCTCTGACGAGTCAAACTGCAAAGGTAAGCTGATTCTGCATGTGAGGGCAGTAAATTAGTACAAAAACGGACACCTTTTGGGGACACTCCCATGCAACCCAAAATATTCATGGTTCTGGATGATTATTTTTAAAGAATTCAAAAGAAAATTCACACAAATTTAAATCATGGTTGATCTGAAACATTTTTTTTGCGTTGTTTTATTTTGACTCTACAATGAAATCTTATTTACCTGCGCCCTTTCGCCATCGTATTTATACTCGCATGTAAACGCTGCATCTTCAAATCTTGAGAGAACTTCAGTGACACCCTTAGTAGGATGTGCTAACATTGGTTTTAACGGGATACCTGGCGTCAATTTACAATGCTTTGGTAATTCCTCAATGCCTTCTTTTAACAACGTTGGAATGATCATATCGTAATTAGGCATCTCACTTAAAAGAATAAATAGAACAGGGAAATATAAGCTGAAGACGTATAAGCTGCATTTTTTAATTTATTCGCATTTATTACTTCATATCAATTTTTTATTAGCGCAAATGATTTTTATTGTACCAAATACCGATAAGGAAACTCTTGGTAGGATATATACAGGGTAATATATCAGGTTATGTGGTCTATACTTATGATAAAAGCAGACGAAAAACTGTGGTTTAAACAACTTTCAAGGGTGTACAGGCGCTGTTTACTTGTATAGGTGATTACACTCATTTGCGTTTTTGCATGCATGCACAGAGACTAGTTGACAAGAACCGGTCGTTTGTACCCAAAGATAAAATAATAGCATAGTTCACTGCTGTTTAAATATCATGAGCTAAAGATGACATTTGTTATCAGTAAGCTGGTTAGCAAAAAATGTCACAGTATAAAACTTATAACCTGTATATTCTGAACATTTCTTTCATAAGTATTCATTTGGTAACAACAACCAATTACAATCAGTATCATACATATTAAAATTACAAAAAAAAATATCAGATCATGCCTCTCAAAAAAGAAAATGGCTCAATTATTTGGACACTGTTTTTGTCTCAACACTGATATGTTTATGAAATTAACTATATTAAGGTAGAGATGCAGGTTCGTGGGCACTTGGGAGTGAAATTTTTTTTTTTTGCTTTTTATTATCCAAAAAGTCTTGGCTATAGACTGTTGAAATTTTGTAGAATTGTGAATAGTGGAACATACTCAAAAAACGATTTTAAAATATAGATAACAGGTGCAAAATTATCTCTTTTGAATGCTTAGCAAGATTTAGCAAGGCTGTACATAAATAATAAAAAAAAAACATGGTGAAAAAAATAAATGACGGGATATTATGCAGTGTTCTCCCCACATAGAACAAAGCATGGCGGCACCGCCATGCTTGGCGACCCGGCCGCCACGCTTGGGCTCGGACCGCCATGCTTACAACTTCACCC